GCTCCCCATGGAATGTGAACTGCTGCAAATGATACTCCTGTCCCAACAGGGAGCTTTTTGACTGAATGAATTTTTTGTACGGGAGTTTTCCTCATCTATGAATACAGTCCACTATATATATATTTTTTTTTTGGGGGGGGGGAGAGGAGTGTTGTGAGAGGGAAGGGGGTAGGGCCGGGCCAACACTTTGAATTTTTTTTTTTTTTAATATCAGCAAAATGGACAGATKCTGGCAATTAAATTCTGCTCTTTCTGGCTGGTTCATTTTTACTGACCTCAAGTAAAGAGCAAAATGTGACTGCGTCAGGCTGCTATAAGCATGTGATACCATGTGAATTAACGAGCAGGTGCCAGATGTCCACGTGCCTTTCCAGGCTGCGTCTCAGTGGCAGGGAGCACTCAGCAGCCTGAACCCTGCCCTTCCTTACTGATGTCTGTCCTGTGGGAAGAGCCCAAGGGAAATGTTTAGACCCTGCCTAGAACAGGTGTACCTACGACGTGTTAAAGGGTGCCGTCGCGATGAGTCACGCTGTCACGGATCCCCTTTCACCTATTGGGAACATGAGCGGTATGTGTGAGAGTGCACACACTTGCACACGGCAATAAATGCGGACTCCCTTACCAGCTTAGAGACTAAACACAAATAGATCATGACCTTGACAGCCAGTGTCCTTACCTTGACATAAACCATCTGTAGCCCCCATACACAGGGAACCTTTCCACAGGTCTAGCAAAGTTGATTAGAACAAACAATTCCACATTCCAGATCCTAGGTTTATTTTGGAAAGTGCCCACATGCCCTGCTCAGCTTTAGGCAAGAACAGTTTTATTGTGAAGCTGTAGCTGCAGTGATGCAATACATGCCTTGCAGGATGTGTTTTACTTCTGACCYGATGTCAAACAGAGGTTTTCCCTGATTGTCATTTTATATTTAGGATYATTCTTGCACTGTTCAAGCTCTGAGAAATCACTGCTGCGTTGTCAYTGGCTTTCTGGCAGGCAGAAATAGAACTTAGATTAAATAAATTCATATCAAAAGAGCCTTATATTTAAAAACACTCTGAAAAGTAGTTTTGAAGTCAASAAATATTTGTCTTCAGCTGAAAAGGGGAAACTAAGAGAAAAACAAGATTTTTTTTAATAACTAAATATCAGTATTCTCGGGACCAAATTGAATAATTCATARAAATATGAAATTTTATTAGTGATATAGTAGATGCCCTTGTGYGTCAAAATTGAGATGTTGTCTTCTAACTTCCATGCAAAAATTACTGCATCTTACTGCAAAATTTACTCCTGAAAGAAAGTACACTGCATAAAAAGGCATTAACATTTTCTAGTTTTCTATTGGTTTCCTAGAGACCGTTTGGGGTTTTTGTTGTTGTTGTTTGTTCATTTGTTTCTTTTTTTTTTTGCTATGCTTTTATCAGTTTTATCAAAAGAATAGTCTAGTGCAAGTTTCATAAACAGATGATAAGAAGACTAGTTCTCACAGACTTATTCTATTCTTTATTTTCTCTTTATATTCAGCTTAGTAAAGGCAAGGCAACTGAATACATACAGTCTTATTTTTGCACTGGTCCAACATATGTTTCCAAAAATAAGTTTCAGTGACATAGCCGTGCACAGTGGCAAGATTAAGGGGAAAAAAAATTGCTTTAAATTGCTGATATTTGACACTTTTATTTCTGAATCATGGCTCAGAATTGAAAATTCAGTGATATTCACTCTAGAGTCTGATTTTCATGCCTGAATATCAGAAATATCAGGACAGTAGTGAAAAGATTAAGGACAAGCAGCAGCAGCAGAGTTGTACAAAAATCCTTACTATACTGGCTTTAAAAAGATTCTATTAATTTTTCAAGAACCTGAGATCTTAAATCATGTAAAAGAACTGCAACAAAACAGAAAAAAAAAAAAGGTTTCACATGAAAGTCATCATATGCCTGGAGAATATCCAGAAGAGAATTAGGAATCAGAATGATAGTGTTTGTTAAAATATAGCACCAAAYATATGTACCTTTCATAGAAATATATTTCATATTTAAGGAAATATATCTTACAATTTGGTTTCTGTTTGGTTGTTTCAGTTTGGTTAGTTTCAGTGCAGAACTTGCAGTGCAACATCCTTGGAAAGGGTATTGAAAATTTAGTATTGATTATTATGTGATTATCTAGCTATTTATTCTAGGTAATTAGATAGCCCAAGGATCCACATATCAACATTTATCAACAAACTTCAAAAGCTTCTGATGTTTTATCTCTCCAGGGTATTATAGTAGCGTATTGCTTTTAGCACTTTTTACAGATATTGAGCAAGGCTCAGAGCAGCTAAATTACTGTGTAGTGGTCATGTAGGAAGTTTTCAGCAGAGCAGGAGTAAAGGTCAGCTCTTCCTCAAGTCAAAAGGCACTTCTCAAGAATTAGTAACTGCATTCCTGCTGACCTCAGAAGGAGCAAGACTGAATTATCTGATAATAACCACCAGAGACAGAGACTCTRACTCCATATGATTCTCTAGAATAAGTGAGTAGAATAGCACTTAGGTCCTAAAGGACCTATGCTTTTACCACCACCATCCCCAGTCTTGGCTATGCACAGTTTCTACTTATTGTGCAACGAGTGTGGTGTTCATTGGACTCCTGGAGTTGTCTGACCTCATTAACATAGCAGAAAACAAACCCAGACAAAATAAAAGTGGGCTGTGTTCTGCCAAGAAACTGAATTGACTCGCAGACTGTAATGAGTGACAGAGCTGGTGCAAGAGCAGAGTATAGGAGCATGGGAAAGGTTAAGAAAAATAGGAGGTGCTGTGGAGGAAACTAAGAGCAAGATCAAATATTCATAAGCACTAGGCTCTTAGATTGCCTCAGCTGCTTGTGGACCTTCAACCTCCATATCATTACATCAAGAGCTAGCTACCTGACAGCAAATTCTAGTGATACTAACAAATATCAGCAAAGACCAAACTACATAATCTGT